TCTCTCTCTCTCTCTCCCCCTCCCTCCCCATCTCTCTCTGCCACTATTTTCCTCCTCTTTTTGTATCTTTAAAAAAAACACACATGCAACCACCCACACTATCAATAACCCCACACCTTATCTTCGATTTTCATCACCATTCCCCACCACTATTTCCCGCCAACACTTCCATGTTCCATCCTTCACCCTATTTTGTTCGGAACCACCACCGACAACCACCATTATCACCAACAAAACATGCTCGATTGGTTGCATCCAGTTCGCCGCCACCACCACCTCCACCAAAGATTTGGTCATCCATAACCACCAGAGTTGTCCCTACCCAACCACCTTCACCAACGACATCACCTACCTAAACCACTAGTCAACAACGACGCCTACCGGAGTTTACCTAGATGGAGATACAAATCTGGATCGAGAAGGCAACCGCCACCACCATCAAAATGGAAATGAAAGGCAATACTATGATTTTGTCTGCCTTTCTTTCTCTTTCTTATGCTGGTATGAATCGAAATGTGGTTGTAGAGGGGATGATGAGCATCGGTGACGACATAGGGGCGACGTACGCCAATGGCATTAGATGGAGTGACGAACGTCGAAAACGACAAATGGGGTGACAAATGCCGATGGCGGTAATAGGAGTGTCGAAATCGCTGATAGGGGAACGAACTCCGGTGGCAGAAAAGGGATGTTATAATGGCACTGATCTTGTTCGTGGATCTAGAATAGATGATGTGAAGATAGTGGAGGTCTGTTAAGTGGTAGGGTGGACTGATGATGGTGTTGTTGAGAAAGTGAGATATAAAGAGATGGAGAGAAAGAGAGAGTGTGTGTATGTATGTATGTATGTATGTATGTATGTATGTATGTATGTGTATATATGTGTAAGTGAGTGAGGTAAGGGGAAGACATAGGTGCGATGGCGTCGGTGATATTTTCTTTTTCGTTTTTAATAAAAATAATAAAAAATTAAAAAGAATTATTTAAAGACATATTCATCATTTAGGTTAGGTGTGGACCACCACCACAAAAAAAATTATCCACAATAGGGATCAAAACTGACAAGATATATAAAAGCAAATCATTGATGTACCATCAAATGTTTTTGGACAAAAGACACATAATTTTAATAATCACGATGATCATTTTTATAATGTTATCCTTAAAAATGATAAGAAATCAATATAGATAATTTACACTTTTAAAATTGATTATATAATAATTGATACAAATCATAATACTGAAAAATGAATTGTATCAATTGAAATCGGTTTCCAACCAAATCATAGAAAATTGAACATGTATAAAAAAAATATTAGCTCTTAGTAATATAAAAGGTCAATAATATTGTATAAAAAAATCTTAGCTCTCAGTAAATATAAAAGGTCCATGATATCTTATAAACGATATAATTTTAGAAACTAACTAGTTGTCTATTGTCTTTATAATTATGACATTGAAGATTGCAACCCTTCATCTTTTTAATCTAATAATCTATGGTTGGTTTTACATTCACATAATATATGTAATCTTATTTATACTAACCCTAAATACATAGAAACGCATCCTATATATATATATATATATATATATATATATATATATATATATATATATATATATATATATATATATATATATATTTAGGTTCATTTGAGGCAATGCTAATTTTGTGATACTGTGAGATCAAATCTAAAAATAATTTTAAAATGCAAAATAAAAGGAAAATCCGAAAATTCTTTTTTTAATTATTATTTCCATCACTTTAATTACCTAAAAAAAATAAAAAAAACCTTGTTTTTTTAAAAATACTTGAAATATTCTAAAAGAATATTACAATATAAATATTCTAATGTGATTTTTAGAATGTTAGAATATTCTATTAGATTTTTTAGATATGTAAAATATTCTAATATTCTACTAGAATATATAAAAAAATGTATTTTTTTATAACTTTTATTTTTTTTTTGTATTTTTTTA